CGGCACAGAGACCGTCCAAGCAGGAAGACAAGTCGCCTGCCAGTGGGCCAGAAGCAGGTGCTGGGGCAGTGCCTAGAGCCACACGAAGGGCTGCCAAGCTGGCTTGTGGAGGGAGGCACCTAGAGCTGGAGGGGACATACAGTCACTGCCGGGTAGACAGGATACAGTCCAGGGCTGAGAGGAGGGAAGAAGGAATACCCTGGCTTCTACCAGCTTCCACCAGTGCCGTCCACTAGTGGGCCTGCCAAGTCCAGAGGGCACGAGGAGCCTCTGCAGGATGGTGGTCTGAGAGCCTGAGCTGCCAAGGCAAGGCAGGCAAAGGACCTGAGAGCAAACAGGCATGGCCACCTAGCGCCTTAGGTTTGTTCCAGCTCCTCCCCAATTATTAAACACTTGGGTCGTTCCAATGAATTCCATACTATCAGATGCTTGGTTTATTCCAACTGTTCCCCTCAACAACCCCCACAGAGAAGGATAATAGGCTAAATGTAAATCTGAAAATGTTACAATGCAAATTCTGAAAAATGGACACAATTCTTAGACACTTAAGAGAACAGTTAAAACCGCAGCAGTTGGAGATGGGATTGGGAACAGCTACTATAAGTGTTTGTTTATGACCAAAACGTTTCTCTAACCAAATGATCGTGTTGCCAACTTGGTTTGGGCCATTATGCTTTGTCACCAAAGGAGTCAGCACCAATGGTAGGGACTTCACAGGTATGCCAGGACACACCAAGCCACAAGGGTTCTTAGGAGGCTGGTCCTTCTTTGAATAACACTCGCCTAAACCAACCAGCAACACAGCAGAGCCAGGAGGCCTGCACTGCCTTATTTCCTTGAAGCAGAAAAGGTATGGTTCTCAAAGTGTGACCCCCAGCCGGCAGCCTCGGAGTGCAGGAAGCACACGCTGTCAGGCCCCGCTCGCACCTGGGCGGATCCTCACGGCCGCCGCCCTCTGCTTCTCCCTTCGTCCGCCCAACCGCCCGTCCTCGCAAGCCCAGTCTGTCCCACAGTGAGCCGCGCTCACCGGCCCTACACAGGAGCCTCCTGCTCGTAAGTCACAGCCCGAGGACACAGGCAGAAGTCACAGCCCAGGGACATAGGTGGAAGTCACAGCCCAGGGACACAGGCGGAGGTCACAGGCCGGGGACACATGCAGAAGTCACAGGCAGGGGACACAGGCGGAGGTCACAGGCCGGGGACACAGGCGGAGGTCACAGGCAGGGGACACAGGCGGAGGTCACAGGCCGGGGACACATGCAGAAGTCACAGGGGACACAGGCGGAGGTCACAGGCCGGGGACACAGGCGGAGGTCACAGGCGGAGGTCACAGCCCGGAGACACAGGCGGCTTCTCCGACTCGATAGTCCCGGGCGGCGGGCTGAGAGGCGCGAGTCCCCAGCCTGCCGTAGCCGGCCGCCTGTGCCCTCCACTGTGCCGCTCACACGGCGCGGCTTTGTCCCAAACCAGGGACGGGCTCCCCCGCGGCCTGCCCAGGCCTCGCGGATTTAGTGGCTTGTCTTCGCCGCCCGCTCGGCCGCGTCCAGGGCGGGAGGCGGTCAGGGGCGGGCGCAGCGGCGAGCCCTGCGGGGAGGGACGGACCGGCGCCCGCCCCGGCCTCTTCCCGCGCGGCCGCGCCACCCCGGGGCGGGGAGGAGCCGCCCGCCGGCTGTGGAGACGCGGCTGTGGAGACGCGGCTGTGGAGACGCGGCTGTGGAGACCAGGCTGTGGAGACCAGGCTGTGGAGACGCGCCTCTCTCCCCTGGGACCGCAGGACGCGGCTGGCCGGTGCTCGAGGAAGCCCTGCCAGATGGTGGCGCCACGGTGACAGTGACCCTCGGAAATGCTGGCCGGTCACCTCCTCCTTGACTTTGCCACGTGGCACAGCGCCCTGTGCCGAGATCCTTGAGGCAGAGGCCTTTCTTCTGCCTGTCCCTCCTTTGAAATTGGAGTGAAACCGCCGCTGCGTGCTGCCACCTGGCGGTGCAGAGGCAAAAGCACACCTGTGCAATTCCGTCCGAGCCCAAGTGGAGAGAGTCCCGTCCTCTTGGCAAAGCCCACCGGAGGACAAGCTGCTTCTTCTGTGTAGTCCAGAGGACTCAGAGGGAAACAGAGCCTACCACGGTGGGCGCCAGGAAATATTAATCATAATGAAAACAATAGCAGCAACGTTAATAATAGCTATACAGTCCTACTTTCTAACTTTTATAACTTTGGGCAAGTTACATAACTTCTCTGTGCCCATAAGGACAGTAGACTAATTACATCAAAAAAGGAAAACAGTGGCATCAGATCTTGAATGGCAAAAAGGGCCATATGGAATGTTTTCCAGAGCCATTAAAATGATTATGATATATTATACCATTAGAGGGACCAAAGGAAGAAAGAAGGGAGTGACATTATCACCGGGTTATTAAAAAAAAAGTCTGTTTCGAATTCAACACAAACATTGATCCAAAGATCCTGTGAACTCAGCAGCAATGAAGTCACGGGACCAGAGCTGGCCTGTTCCCCAGAGTTCCTGCGACAGGACACCACGGGAGCAGCACAGACACCTCCGCAGGTGAACCGCGCCAGCAAAGCCAGCCGTGGGGAAGGCCAGGCCGGCAGGCCTTTAAACAGCACAATTCCAGTGGGCCCAGGGCTGCCTTCCCTGAGAAACGCCTATTTCAACACAGACATTTCGCTTTCAGAGACTGATTCCTTTGGCTCCTGGAAACTTTGTTTGTTTTTGAGACAGAGTCTCACTCTGTCGCCCAGGCTAGAGTGCTGTGGCGTCATCGTAGCTCACTGCAACCTCCAACTCCTGGGCTCAAATAATTCTCCTGTCTCAACCTCCTGAGTGGCTGGGACTACAGGCTCGAGCCAGCATGCCCGGCTGATTTTTCTATTTTTTGTGCAGACAAGGTCTCACTCTTGCTCAGGCTGGTCCCAAACTCCAGGCCTCAAGCAATGCTCCCACCTCAGGCTCCCCGAGTACTAGGACTACAGGCATGAGCCACTGCACATGGCCTGGAAACTCAATTTTTACATGGTTTCCTATAAAATATAGGCATACCAGCAGGTGCAGGGTTGCCAGCCAGTGCTCTGGAACCCACAGTTGCCTTCCTGCCTGGTAGCTTGCATCTGCCCCAGCCCATTCCAAGTGGAGAAGGGGCCACCTCCTCCATCCTCAGGGGTCTCCCTGATCTGAGGCCCCCATCCCTCCCAGGACTTTGCTGTGACACACTGTGTCCCCATCTCAGGGGTCCAGGTGTTGGTCAGCAGCCCCCTGGTCGAGGCTGAAGAGACTTACGGAAGAGCTGCAGACCCGAGGGAATGAGACGGAGGAGCTGGGGCGGGAGGGAGGAAGCCGGAAAAGGAGCCTTCTCCATTCATTCAAGTTGGTGGCCTGGGATGAGCGTGGACTTGGGGCCCAAACAGCAGTACTGCCATGGGCTCGTTTACAAACTGCTGAGCGGGGTACCCCACCTGCAGACAGGTAGCGTGGAGTACCTGCCTTCAGCGTAGTTCTCTGGATCCAGTGAGATAGAATGTAAGCCAAGTCGATGAGTGGACGTTCCCTTTCTTTCCCACTTTACCATTTAGAAGACTGTTAGATGTGCGCTGAAGTGCCTTCTCAGGCCTCTGCCGCTGGGGACGGGGTTGTGGCTGGGACATGGACTGCTTACACCTGTGCACGGACTTTGCTGGGCTAAGTTCACCCAAACACCATATAACGGCATTAGTTTGGGACATAAAACTGCCCTGATGATTAAGAATGTCACTTCGATAGTCATTTTTCCCAAAGTTTTGCACAAAACATGAGTTCTGTTGGTTGTTAATAAGTTTGTTATGAAAATACAGTTCTGTGGTCAAATAATTTGGGGAATGGTGGGTTAAACAAAGTGAAACAGTTCTTTTTCATAACTATAAATGTGCTCATCAGCAGATTAATCTCTGCTGATCCCAAACCTATTTTGACCAGGGAGACCTTTATTTGGGGGGAGAAGACCTATGAACACATCTCTGCACACAAATATCCTATCAAACCCAGTTCTAGGTGATGCTAACACAAACATCCTAGCACATCGACTACTGGGAAGGCATGAAATGGATATTCGATGGTGCTGATGGTAACAGTCTGCATGTAATCTTTCAACTTCTCCAAAATAACCAAAAGTCAGCCTCTTTAGGAGAAAATTAAATGCCCCAGAAAAATTTGTCCCAGTGAGTTTTCTAAGCCTGCCCAGAAAGGAGTAAATGATTCTGCCATGGAAATGGACTGAGCAGTCAGAGTCTGTCTTCCACACCTTTTGCAGCAATAGATTCAGCACTGTCTCTGAAGCTGGGCAGGCAGCCTCTCATTTCTTCTGGAAAAGGAAATGAAAAGGGGCTCAGCTCCTGATAGTTACCTTCATTCATTTCTCTTGAGCCAGGACCTCAGTCCCCAGTAGTGGCTCACTAAGTATTTGCTCCTTCACCTACTGGCCAGCTTACATGAAATGCCGGGCTGTGTTTTCTAAACATTAGCAAGTGGGCTTCTCAAAACAGAGCTGAAATGTGTGTGTTTCATGTTTTTGTGTCTCTCTTCCAAATACTTCAATTTCTATAAACGCAATCCAGTTCCCAACAGCTGCTTTGAAAGTTCATTGATGAGAATCCTTGAAAAAGAACATCTGTGACCCTTAGAATTGCACGACAGAAGTTTTGCTGTTTCCCAGCCTGGGAAGGGAACCATATTCTCACCCACCTCTCTCAGCTCATGCATTTGGCCTGTAGTTTAGGCCACTGGGTAGGGTGAGATTTGATCATGGAAAAGGGTAGACCCTCTACGGGAGTAATTTATAAAATCTCATACCCATCACTCAGTCATTCCCACCTGTCACTCACCAGCCAGTCCTTCATTTGAGCATCACGTGGGGGTGTTGTGGGAGCCGGCGGCCGCTAGGCGAGGCACTGCCTGTGAGAGTGCGTGCGCAGCAGGCGCGGTGGCCAGGCGCCTGGACAGTGCTCTGGACAGTGAGCCCCTTTCCACGATGCAGCAGCCTGAGGACAAGACTCGTAACTGCTTTGCCTTCTGAGTTCTAGCGCGTGGGGCTGTATATTGCACAAAGGTCTTCAGTGCCTGCACAGGTGACACCTAAATTCAGAAAGGCCAGTGAGCTTTTGGTGAACTCCCTTCCAAGACCTTTCTGCATGGTCTAATTTATACAGAATATCTTAATGTCAGTGATTCCCTGACGGTGTTAGGTCCTAGCCCAGGTTGTAAGAAGCAGAATAAGGACTGACATTAGATTAGCACTTTCATTTTTAACTTCACACCTTTTTTTCCTTTTAACTTTTTTATTTTGACATTATTTCAGACTTAAGAGAAAAGTTGCAAGAAAAATACAAAAAATGTCTATATATCCTCTACTCAGAGTCCCTAAATATTAACATGTACCACATTTGCTTCATTGTCTTCTCTCTTTCTCTACATATACCATAATTTTTTTTCTGAAACATTTTGATAAGTTATACATACCATGCCCCTTTATTTCTAAGTAATTCACTATGTGTTTCCAAAAAACAGGGCATTCTCTTACATAATCCCTGTACAATGATCAAAATCAGGAAATTAATGTTGACTTAATACTATTACCTAGTCTGTGACCTTTTAGCAAGAAGGACATGCAGCACATTGGGTTGTCATGCCTCTTAAGTCTCCTTTAGTCTGGAATAGCTCCTCAGTCTTTCTTTGCTTTTTCATAACATCATATTAAGAGTGCAGGCCAGTTGCTTTGCAAAACACCCTTCGGGTTTCAGTTAGGGTATGCTCTTTTGGCAGGAAAATCACGGGGGTGGTGCCGAGTTCTCAGTGCGTCCCGTCAGAAGCCACATGCATTCCATCAGTGTCACTGTGGCCATACTGCTTTAGACCCCTCGGCTGTGGGGCTGTGTGTGCGGGCACCCTTGCGCCTGCGGTGGATGATGCTTCGAGACTAAATCTAGTGTTCGCCCCAGACTTCCTCCCACGAGTCTCAGTCCACTGATGACTCTTACTTGAGTGGCTGTCAAATGGTGACTTTTCTAGATCCATTCTTGTACGTTTGTTAGCTGGTTTCGTACTTGCAAGGCAGAGCATTCCATTTCCCTTATTTTATTTATCTCAGTTTAGACTCATGAATCCTTGTAGTAGTATTTATTTTGATGCTCCAATCATTCCGGATTTGGCCAACAAAACTCCTATAAGCTAACTCCTGTGTCCTTTTGACCTATCTTTGTCATTCTTTAAGACTAGCACTATTCAAAGGCAGTTCTTTCCAGATAGGTTGAGCCTTTTTCTTTATTCTCATGACTTCCTGACAAATAGTCAGTTTCTCTGTCTGGTTAGAGAACTCCCCACCCTTTCTGGTCTTCCCTTCCCCCACCTCCAAAGCTACCCTCCTTGTGAGACGGGATTCCCCAGCAAGGAGGCTGCACCAGCAACTGACGGGCATTAGCATGGCCATCTTCAAACACAGGACTATTTAACTTACACACAAAACATAGGGCTCTGGGAGCAGTGGATGGGCACAGCCATCCTGATGGTGTTTGTTTTTCCCCTGTGTAAACCAAGCAAAGGCTCTGCCCTTTGCTTCCCTGTTGCAAACTCCAAAGAGAAAGCAAATTCAACCCTGCTCAGTAATAAAGCACCCAGCGACTGAGCTCTTACCCTTCAGCCAGCCGTTGTCAAAGGGAAGAAAGGAAGAAAGCAGACAGCTTGTTTTGAACTCAGTCTGACTTCAAAAGAGCATATATATTTTTTTCTATTTCCATATATCATGTGCCAGACAAGTATTTCCTTTTTGCACCTGGACTTGGGAGAACTTGCTACAAACAAGGTGCAGATGAGGGAGGGAAAGATGAACAGAGAAATGAATTTGATCTGACACATCGCATAAGGAAGCCTGATTGTGGATGCGGGCGTGCAGGGCTTGGGTGCAAACACATGCCCCACCCTTTTCGTCAGCGGTCACACAACCTTGGACGCTAGAGCCTGCCTGGTTGCGAGAAGGAATGTGCTGGGGAAGGAAAACACGGGGCGAGGTGAGAGAGGGCAGAACCTCGAACCAGGAAGAGGCTGTCCTCACGGGGCTCCAGAGAGGCGCAGAAGCATGGCCCTCAGGTATGGACCAGGTCTGCGGGCGGGCGCCCCGGGGAGGCAATGGGGGAGATCCCAGCTGCAGACCTGGTGCTGACAGGGGCAGACCAGCAGAGCCTCCTGTGTGCCGCGTGGCTTTGGAGAGCAGCACAGCCCCGTGGCTTTCCTGGGAGAGGGGGGCGCGCAGAAGCCGCAGAGGATGTGTCATCTCTGTAGGAGGCAGGGAGTGGGGGTGGCTGCGCTGGGCTTTCAGATCCGAGCAGTCGTCTCATTTTGGCGCAGGTTGCTCCTGCGGCCTGAGCCACGGCAGAAGGTGGGCAGCGCCCAGCTCCTCCTGGGCAAGGGTGCCCCAGGGCCAGTCTCACGTCTCTGGGGCCAGTCTCACACACGGTGTCACTCAAGACATACCTGGCCTTTCTTTTTCATCTTCTTTCTCTTTTCTTTCTTTCCCTCTTCCTTTCTCTTTCTTTCATTTATTTATTTAAGAAGAAAACCTTGCCCATGGACAACTCTCATTGTAAAGTTGACCCGAGGTTTTCAATGATTAATATTTTATGATTGCTTCAGTTACATGATTACCATACAGTCTGCCTTGTGTTTCTCAAACACTTCTAAGCCCCTTTTCCTTTCCTTTGACTGTTTTTTTGCTACCTATCCTAATTTGTTTTAAACAGAGTCCAAGAGAAACAAATGCAGTGCAAGTATGGAGAGAGTCAGGATTTCCGAGCAGACTGTGGAGGGGCAAGGCAGCAGGGGAGGGGCACACGTGCTGCCTCTTACCCAGCCGATCCATACAGCTGGACTATGACTGATCTGCAGAAAGTGAACATAAGTGGGGAGCAGAGGCTTGGAACAAGCCTCTGGAAATGGGGTTATTTTACTGAGAGTGTTTTGAAAAAGCAAAAGGTTATACGCGTATGTTACTGGTGAAGCCCCCAGTGATTTCTCTCTCTATGGAACTGTGGTTGCACTTGGGGTTTCCATGGTCCACTCGGTGTCACAGTTGCTAGAAATAGACCATTTGGCCCTTATTCCAGAAACAAGTATTGCTCAGTATTGTTAATACTCTTGTTTGTGTGCCCATGTCGTGGCAACTAAATTACATCTTGATTGGGTTCAAGGCCTACATTTTTTTTTAATATGCTGTGTACAGACAGGGCTGGGTAGGGCACTGGTCTGTGCTTATTGTATTAACTTATGTGACCCCCCGACAGTGCCATGCTGTAGGAGTATTACTGTCCCCATTCACAGAAGAGGTGGCCGAGGTCCTGAGTCCACAGCGAGGGGAGGCGGAGCTGGGCTCCGCACCGAGTTTTCTGTCCCCAGGGCTGCCCTCACCACTCCTGGGCGCCGTGGTCGGCGCCCACCGGAAGTGCCTACTGTTTACAGTCACGCTCAGCTACTGCGCTAGATTTCAGCCTGCAGTCATCAGGTAATTCATCCATTCCACAAATAGTTACTAACTGTATACGGTGTGCCAGGTATTTTCCTCAGTGCTGAGGAGTCAGACTTGAAGAAAGGTTCTACCCCACAGGGCTTACTGCATTGTGGACAAAATGGATCATAAACAAACAAACTGGTGACGAGATGTGCAGTGGTAACACGTGCTAGGAAGAATAATGAAGCACAGTAAGCAGAAAGGGTGACAAGACACACGGGGTGGGGCGGCCCAAGGGACTCTCTACAGATTCATTAGTGCTCCTGAGAAGAGTCTGACTGACAAGGGGTTTGGTGCTCAACAATGAAGTGACTTGGGAATGTTCTAGTTCCCTGTGCTGCTGTAGCAAGTTACTGCAAACTTGGGGGTCTAAAACAATGGAAGTTTATTCTTTCCCAGTTCTAGAGGACTGAAGTTTGAAACTGGTATCACTGGGCTGAAATCCAGGTGTGACCAGGGCCACACTCCTTCCAGAGGGGTTAACCGTTCCTTGCCTCTTCCAGCTCCTGACGCTCCTTGGCTCCCATCTCCACCTTTGTGGTCACATTGCCTCTTCCCCTCCTGTCCGCGGCACATCTCCCTGCGCTCCCTCCCGGAAGCATTCATATCCTTGTGTCTAGGGTCCAGCCACATAATCCAGGCAAATCTCACCATATCAAAATCCTTAACTTAGTCACATATTGGAAGACTTTTGCAGGCAGGTGCATATAAGGTAACATTCCAGGTTCCAGGGATCAAGGCATCAAGCCCCAGGTATCTATTGGGGAGCCATTTTTCAACCTGCTACAGGGAGTTATTTGTGGATTTATTTTATTATGTGGACTAGTGTAAATCTAGTCCCCTACCAATTGGCCAACCAACCATCTGTGCATCTGAAAAGGCACCCAGTCATTTTCACTTGGGCAAAGGCCTATGAAGTGGCCTGTGGCCTCCAGGGAAATTCACCCACGACTGAAAGAAGGATGGACGGAGACGGCAGGGATGATCTCTGTCTTCCTAAGGCACGCGTGTCCCGGAGACAGATGACTGGGACTTTCCATTCTCTTGTTGGCTTGTCCTTTTAAAGGCTGACTTAGACATGGAGAACAACTCAGCAATTCTTCCACACTAATTTTCAAGATTTTCTGAGGAAAGAGCAGACAAATGTGGTCAGTTTTATATGAAGAGAAGATCTTGTTCAGAAGGAAATGATGGGAAAAATCCAGCTTGGGGAGGGCCGGGGCAGCAGGCGGGTGGGAAGTGAGTCCTCCTCCTTTGAGGGTCCCCGTGGAGACACTCTTAGAACTGCAGGAGGAGGGAGCCCGCAATGAGAACTGAGATTGGCCCCGCGATGGGAAAGGCGAAACAGCAGCGATTCAGTGCCAGCACAGATGACCCGGCCATAACGCTCCTCAGGGGCGGAATCTTGGAGCACGGCGGATCAGACGTGTCACTCCATCTTCCTTGAGTTCCCCAGGGCTCACCCTTGCAAGGAACCTCTTGCGCCTCCTGCTGCCGCACCCAGGCACAGTTCTCCCGTGCTCCATGGGACTAGGGTTAGAACGCGCTCCGGCATGTGTCTCCCCTGCGTTCCCCACGCGCCCTTCCTCCTCCTCCAACGCCCCCACGCGCCCTTCCTCCTCCTCCAACGCCCCCACGCGCCCTTCCTCCTCCTCCAACGCCCCCACGCGCCCTTCCTCCTCCTCCAGCCTGCCCACGCGCCCTTCCTCCTCCTCCAGCCTGCCCACGCGCCCTTCCTCCTCCTCCAGCCTGCCCACGCGCCCTTCCTCCTCCTCCAGCCTGCCCA